CCCGTGTCCCCTGCATCGGCAGGTGGACTCTCAACCACTGCGCCACCAGGGAAGCCCCCCTTCCCCTTTCTTGACCTCAGTTTCATCCTTTTACATTGAGGAGGTTAGACACACTGATCCTTGATTCTGGACTGTAGCCCAGGAGGAGGCATTTGGGAATTAGGCCTGCTAAGGGGCCTGTTTGTGACATCATAGAGGGGAGAATTCCATGAGAAGTCAGGCTTTCCTAGAAGCCCCAGTGCCACGGCTTAGGCGAGAAAGGCAATCCAGGAAGGGCTCTTAGGCCCACACCTTGAGCTTTCCTCATTCCGTGGTTCACAGCATAGTCATGGATCAACCCTCGATGGCTGAAAAGGCTCAAAGTGAGGCAGACACTGATGACTCGGACGTGTTCTCTCACCCCAGCTCACCAACCACACACCACAGGCCAGGCCATGGTGGAGTCCACCGCCATCACCAAAGGGTGTCCCGTCCCGATGGTGAGTCCCACCATCATGGCATATCCCCTCATCGTGATGGATCTCAAGACTTCCATGACAATGCCTTCTCCCGCCATTCCCACCGCTCCCACCACTCCTCATTCCTCTTCCCGGATACTTCCTGTGGCGCTTTCATGTCCCACCATTCCTATGGTGAGGACCACTTTGATGATGAGCACCACCATGGTAGCAGGAAACATCATGGGAGGCCCCACCAACATAGGGAGTCCTACCACCATGGGGGCCTCAACAGACATAGGGAGTCCCACCACCATGGTGGGTTTCACCACCACAGTGAGGTTTCCCACCATAGTGGGCTTTATCACCAAGGTGCGCCTTACAACCATAGAGACTTCTCCCACTCTGGTAGCCCTGCCCAACACAGTGAGGCCCATCACCATGGCGGGCACCACCATCATGAAGCCCATCACCACAGAAGGCCTGCCTCCATGGGGTCCTACCACCGTGATGAGCACCTCCACGGCCACCGTGATGAGCACCAGCACAGAGAGCACCTGCAGGGTGCACATCCTCGTATTTACCTCCACCGAGAGCACCGCTATGGGGAGGACCGTCGTGGTAGCTCCCAACTCTTTGGCCCATACACGTCCCACAGTGTGGCCTCAGCCTCCCTCGGCTCTGCCTATTCTCGTCAAGTAGCCCCCCAACCTGGCAAGCCAGAGAGACAGAGCTCGGCCGTCAGCTTGGCTCGTTCCCTGAACACAGCGCACTCACACCCTGCCCAGACCTCCAGCAAAGTCCATCCTCAGGGCTCCTCCTCTAAAACCTCGGAAAGCTGGCCCGAAGAAGACGAGCAGATTCAGAAGCGCAAAAGTGAGTCTTGGCTTGCCCCCCACCCCCCAACTCCAGCTGCCTGGCCCAGATTCCAGACCTGAGTCAGGACCTGAACATCCTTCCGCAGATCATGAGGCTTGCTCTCACCTGCAGGTGTCTCCCATTGGCTATTCCCTCGCCTGACTGTTCATCATCCAATCTTTTATTTCTCGAATTAGGCACTTCTCCAGACTGTCGGTTGTTGGTTCATGCAGTCACTGCTTTATTCATTCGCATGTTCACTTCTCGAACATTTCTTCTCTAGTATGAAAGCTGGGGGTGATCACTTATACAACCAATCCCAGACTACCCAGTGAGAGGGGTCTATCATCCATATCAGAACATTTACCACTGTGGATTCTGTTTGTCCATGTTTCCCCCACTAAACTGTGAGCTTCTTGAGGCCAGAGGCTGGAACCAGTGCCTGAACGAGGGCCTGGTTAGAGGGCAGGGAGGGACTTTGGCTGCTAACATACGATCCCCCAAACTTGGTCCCTGGTAGTTCCGGAAACACGGCATCAGCCTCACAAACAAGCAGTGAGGGATGAGTGTCTAACTGTTTGTGGGCAGAAAAGTCAGCCAACAGGGGGAGATGTTTCAGCAGAATCTTGGAGGGAGAGGGAGAGTTTACCAAGAAGGTGGGGTGGCGAGGAGGATGGGGTCTTCCGTGCGTAAGTTGCCATGTGACTTAAAGAAAAGCATGGAGGTGTAGGAGCGTGAGCTCAAGCAGACCTCAAATCCCAAGGAAGCTGGCATCTGCTGGGGAAGGGGTCAAGCCTGTGGCTCCTATACCAGCCCAGGACTAGCATGGAGGCACCTGAGTGAGCTCACGGCAGGCAGGCCTGGGAGGGAGACCGGATCCCCGTGTCCCCTTCCCCCATGGGCTTGGCTTTCTGGCCCTTTTACAGCTGGCCGAGCCCCACGAACCCACAAGAAGCTGCACACTGTGGACCTCTTCTATTTGTTGTGGGAAAAATTAAGCCACCTCATTTGGGGCCTTTCGAGAATGCTCAGGAAACTGACTGACTCCCTGGCCTTTGAAGCCTTCGTTGTCTTCATCGTCTGCCTCAACACCATCATGCTCGTGGCCCAGACCTTCGCTGAAGTCGAGGTCCGGGGTGGTAAGAGCCAGGGAGCCCTGTTCACATGGAGAAGGCCACTGTTGTTGTCCCAAGCCTCCCGTGGGCCGGATCAAGTGCCGGGGGATTTATATCGCTTATCCCATTTGATCCTCACCCTGGGAAGTAAGCGGCATTGCCCAGCAGTAGAGTGAGGCTCAGAGAGTTTTGCTGAAGTCAACCAGCCCGCCAGAGACAGAAAAGCCCAATAAATTTGAGGTTTCCTGTTTTGGACTATAGCCACCAGGTGGCGCATCAGCTCTAAGTACGCTGCTTTGCGGGAAGGATGCCCACAACCCAGGTCGGCTGGAAGGGCCAGGAGACTGTGCAAGCAGGAGGCCCTGGAGGGATGAGGGTGGGAAACCTGGGAAGATGGTCCCTAAAACCCTGGGAGCAGAGTGAAGGTAAGGACCTGCCACAGGGCCCATAAACTAAGGAGATAATAAGAAGAGTGATGTTTCTTGCAAGCTGTTTCAGGCTCCATTCTAAGCCCTTTACTATGTGAAAAGCATTTTTTTTTTTTTTTTTTGCGGTACGCGGGCCTCTCACTGTTGTGGCCTCTCCCGTCGTGGAGCACAGGCTCCGGACGCGCAGGCTCAGCGGCCATGGCTCACTGGCCCAGCCACTCCATGGCATGTGAGATCTTCCCGGACGGGGCACGAACCCGTGCCCCCTGCATCGGCAGGCGGACTCTCAACCACTGCGCCACCAGGGAAGCCCGTGAAAAGCATTTAATGCTTGTGAAAATTCTATCAGGCAGACTGTTATTATCACCATTTTATAGGCAAGAAGAGTGAGTCACAGAGCAGTTGAAACACACAGCCATTGGGCAGAGTCAGGTTCTCCCTAAATGGCTGAGTGTGAGGTTCCAGTGGGGAGGAGGAAGGAGAGGCTGGGTTGCTGGGGAGACCCCTGAGTGAGACCCCCCTCCCCCGTGTCCCCCACAGAGTGGCACTTCATGGCCTTGGACTCCATCTTCCTCTGCATCTACGTGGTGGAAGCTGTGCTCAAAATCATTGCTCTGGGCCTCAAGTACTTTTTGGACCCCTGGAACAACCTGGGTGGGTAGGGATGGGACGTGTGTGTGTGTGTGTGTGTGTGTGTCTGTGTGTGTGTGTGTGTGTGTGTGTGTGTGTGTGTGTCCAGGGTATATATGCCCAGTAGTGGGATTGCTGGGTCATAGGGTAGTTCTCTTTGTAGATTTTAAAACAACCTCCATACTGTTCTCCACAGTGGCTGTATCAATTTACATTCCCACCAACAGTGCAAGAGGGTTCCCTTTTCTCCACACCCTCTCCAGCATTTATTGTTTCTAGATTTTTTGATGATGGCCATTCTGACTGGTGTGAGATGATATCTCATTGTAGTTTTGATTTGCATTTCTCTAATGATTAGTGATGTTGAGAATTCTTTCATGTGTTTGTTGGCAATCTGTATATCTTCTTTGGAGAAATGTCTATTTAGGTCTTCTGCCCATTTTTGTATTGGGTTGTTTGTTTTTTTGCTGTGTGTGTGTGTGTGTGTGTGTGTGTGTGTAGTGGGAGCCCCTGAACTGCCCAGGGGCAACAGGAGCAGGGGGTGTTGGCACTGGGAGGTCTGTTAGCCTGTGCAGGAGCCCATTACTCCCAGGTGGCCCTGTTTCTGTAGATTTCTTCATCATGGTCATGGCTGTGCTGGACTTCATGCTCATGCAGGTCAACTCTTCCTCCATGCGCGTGGTCTACAACCAAAGCATCTTCCGCATCTTCAAGGTCTTCAAGAGCCTGCGAGCCTTGCGAGCTATCCGGGTCCTGCGGAGGCTCAGGTCAGCAGACCCACAGCTGCCCACAAGGAGGCTGCAGACTCCAGCCTGCTTTTCCTGCCATCCACTAGGATCAATCTCTTTATTTTCCAGAGAGGGTCTGGGACACCCCCCGCCCCAAGTCACTAGCAAATCAGGGACCTCCCACCCCTGTAATCAGCAGTCTGAAACCTGTAATCAGCTCCGGCTGCTAGACACAGATCCCCACCCCACTGACTCAGCCTCTCTCTCAACCTCTGCCCACAGCTTCCTGACCAGCCTCCAGGAAGTGACCGGGACCCTGGCCCGGTCCTTGCCGTCCATCACCGCCATCCTCATCCTCATGTTCACCTGTCTCTGTATCCTGTGCCACGGGGGCTGGGGTGGGAGAGTGAGGTGCTGCAATGGATGGAGTTGAGGGGGAGGGACCAGGAACTGGGGGTGGCAGGGAGAGAGGAAGAAGGGGAGAGAGGACCCTGAGAGCCTGGTTTGGTCCTCAACAGCCAGTCCTGTTCTCTGTGGTGCTCCGGGCACTGTTCCGCTACTCTGACCCCAAGCGCTTCCAGAATATCTTCACCACCATCTTCACTCTCTTCACCTTGCTTACCCTGGACGACTGGTCCCTCATCTACCTGGACAGCCGAGCCCAGGGTAGGGCAGGCCTCAGGCTGGGTGGAGGGCAGGGGCTGGCTAAGCGGGCAGACCCTGAGGGCTCAGTTACCCCATCTGCGAAGTGGGGCTTCTGAGGCTTGCTGGCAGGGGTGTGCTGAGGGCCGGCAAGGGACTCACAGCTCGAACGACCCCTCCCCCCAGGCGCCTGGTACATCATCCCCATCCTCATGATCTACATCATCACCCAATACTTCATCTTCCTCAAGTGAGGCCCCCGCGCCTGTGCTCCCCAGCTGCACCTCCCCCAGCCTAACCCCGGGCCATCCCCTCCCCTCCCCTCTCGCCACGGTTCTGCCACGATGAACCCAGAGGAGGGTTCAGGGCCTCCCCTCCAGCTTCCTCCTGTCTCCCGCCCCAGCCTGGTGATTGCCGTCCTGGTGGATAACTTCCAGATGGCCCTGCTCAAAGGCCTGGAGAAAGTGAAGCAGGAGGTAGTGAGGGAGCGGGGCAGGGGGGCAAATCAGGAAGACGCGGGGAGGGGGACACAGAAGGAAGGAAGGTGCTCCAGGGATGGGCAGACATGGGACGCTGGCAGACTGAGGCCTCTTCTTTGCAGGAGGCCTCCCAGATCCATGAGAAGCTACTGGATGACTCACTGACAGAGCTCATCGAAGCAGGTACCAGCAGCCCGCTTCTTCCCAGGCAGGCACAGAGCTCCAGGCTCAGCTTTATTTATTTATTTATTTATCTGTCTACCTATTTATTTATTTGTTGCCACGCTGCGCAGCTAGAGGGATCTTAGTTCCCCAACCAGGGGCCAAACTCAGGCCCAGGCAGTGAAAGCGCCAAGTCCTAACCACTGGACCGACTGCCAGGGAATTCCCGACGCCCAGCTTTAGAGTCTTAGAACCTGCCACTCAGGAGAACTTTCAGAGCTTAGAACTTTGGTCCAAAAAAGCTCTACGACTAACCGCCAACAACCAATTAAACTGATAGTCAATTCTTGAAAGACCCATTTGCAAAACAACTAATTAGCCAAATTATGATTCACCAAACGTTCGTTTCTGTTAATAACTTACAAAGTTTATAGAAGTTGGTCTTCTATGAGGTGGCTTCAACTGTCTTTGAGGCTTTTGTCAAGGTGTTATACCCACTTGTCCAGAGCCACTCAAAGTGTCTATAAAAATTGAGTCTATAAAAATGAAGTTTTCTGTACATGTTCATCTTTACACACCTGACTTTCTGGGTAAATAGACTTTGAGCCAATTGCTTCGCCTCCTTCTTAAAGACCTTCAGAACTTTAGAATCTGAGCTCCAGAGTCCCACTCTTAGGATCATCAACACCAGAGGACTAAGGGCCCTCAGGGCTCACCTGGACCCCCACCTGCCCTCTCCATCATGAACACTCAGTGCAGAAAAGCTTAAGCAAAAAGAGGAATTAACTATCTTAAATTATTAGCAACTTGAGAGTTCATGGGCTTTCGGGAACAGATGGATCCAGGACCCAATGATGGTTGAGATTTGGTCTCCTTCCAGTTCTCTGCTCTGTGGCTCTCTGTGTGGTTTTGTGCTTAGGGTGCTTTTCCTTTGTGGTGGGAAAGTGACCACCTGCAACTCTAGTCCCAAATCCTCACAGTTTAAGTATCCCAAGCTCTCCCAGCAGGGGTCCTCTTCTGCCGGTGGTTCGAACAACATCCCAGAAATGAATCTCCTTGGCTCAGGTTGGTCACCTGCCTATTTCTGAACCAATCTCTATAGCTGAAAGGATAGGCTATTCTGCTTGGCCAGTCTTGAGTCACATGTCCTTAGAGCTTGGGGGTGGGGTCAACCCCAGCTAGGCAATGTGCACCGAAAGGGGTGGGAGTGGTTCCCCAGGAAAATTGGGAAACTTTTACCAGAAGAAGCGGGAACGCATGCTGGATGGGCAAACAAACAAAACACACTCCATGCCTGGAGAAACAATCTCTTTGGGGTCATCCTGGACAAAAACCCCTTTAGCTCCTGTTTGACTATCTCCATGACACACGGGGTTTCCTCCACCTTCTCTCAATCCAGGCAGCGTCTTGACCTCCCCCTTCTTTCCC